CAACACCCTCATAACCCAAAAGAAACACCCTAGGCACCCACAAGAGACAACCCAACAAATACTGAACAACACCCTGGCATAACCCAGAACACCAAAAACATTACCCTAGCGACCACAAAGAATATAATTGCAACTATGGCACCAACTGAAATCAACATAGCAAAATCCTGGCAACTACAACAAGAATCCTGGAAAACACCCAAAACACCTTAGCAACACCCTGACAGCCACCAACAATGCATTAGTAGCCAACTAGATCCCCCTACCAATCACATAGTAACACTTTGCCAGAATCCAGGCAAACATCCAAAACACCTTAGCAACAACCTGACAGCCACCAATAAGATGTTAGTAACCAAACTGAGCATATTAATCACATAGCAACACTTTGACAATCACTTGTTTCACATTAGTGGCCATTTGCCACATTTGCCTGGAAACCCTCTAAATCCATAAGTACAATGAGACACATAGCAGCACCCTGCAACCCACAAGAGACAACCTAACAAATACCGAACAACACCCTGGCATAACCCAGAACACCAAAGCAATACCCTAGCAACCACCAGGAATAACTGTGTTCTGTGAACTCAAAATGACGGAATGACTCTCTAACAGGGGTTACATGTGCTGCTGAAGATTACAGACACAGATGAGAGGTTTGCTCTGACTGTGAGTTATATTTTGTGTTGTTTTTGAACCCAAATTAGCACTAAATGTATGCGTTGTGTAGTTTTTCTGTAATTGGTAGCCTATGAAACACTGAAAGAGTCTGCATGTGTTCATATATGCTGCATTTATTTATTTATTTATTTTATATCATTCAGCTGCTGTGCCGAATGATCGTTGATCTGCAGTTATAATCAAATCCTGTTCATAGAAAGGTTAGTAATGGACATTTATACACAAGTATTTATGTTTTTAAAGCATCCTTTTTTTCGTTTTGTGAGAAGTGCTTCTCATATGATATGCAAATGACCGGACAGCTTTACTGTAGACATTTCCCCAAGTAAAAATGACGTTGTCTGAAACTTTCTGTCGTACACCGCACCCACCAAAAGAGAACCCTTTTGACAGTGGAAACACAAGCCTGATAAAAGTGACCCATACTGAAACTTACCGTACCCTACTGTACCTTCAGGGCCGGCACGTCCATAGAGGCGACCTAGGCGGCGGAGGGCGGCATCCCCGACACAACCCTCACCTCTCCTGCCCTCAGTTATATCCACGTCTAGGGTGGCGTCGGCGACACTACCCTCACCACCCGCGCCCTGAGTTATATCCGCGTCTAGGGCGGCATCGGCGACACTACCCTCACCACCAGCGCCCTCAGTTATATCCACGTCTAGGGCGGCGGCGACACTACCCTCACCACCTTCGCCCTCAGTTATATCTGCGTCTAGGGCGGCGTCCACGACACTACTCTCACCACCCTCACCCTCAGTTATATCCACGCCTTGGGCGGCGTCGGCGACACTACCCTCTCCACCCGCGCCCTCATTTATATCCGCGTCTAGGGCGCCGTCGGCGACACTACACTCACCCTCAGTTATATCCGCGTCTAGGGCGGCGTCGGCGACACTACCCTCACCACCCGCGCCCTCATTTATATCCGCGTCTAGGGCGGCGGCGACACTACCCTCACCACCCGCTGTCCTCAGTTATATCCACGCCTTGGGCGGCGTCCGCGACACTACCCTCACCACCCGCGCCTCAGTTATATCCACGTCTAGGGCGGCGTCCGCGACACTACCCTCACCACCCGCGCCCTCAGTTATATCCACGTCTAGGGCGGCGTCCGCGACACTACCCTCACCACCCGCGCCCTCAGTTATATCCACGTCTAGGACGGCGTCCGCGACACTACCCTCACCACCCGCGCCCCCAGTTATATCCACGCCTTGGGCGGCGTCCGCGACACTACCCTCACCACCCGCGCCCTCAGTTATATCCACGTCTAGGGCGGCATCCGCGACACTACCTTCACCACCCGCGCCCTCAGTTATATCCACGCCTTGGGCGGCGTCCGCGACACTACCCTCACCACCTTCGCCCTCAATTATATCCACGCCTTGGGCGGCGTCCGCGACACTACCCTCACCACCTGCGCCCTCAATTATATCCACGCCTTGGGCGGCGTCCGCGACACTACCCTCACCACCTGCGCCCTCAATTATATCCACGCCTTGGGCGGCGTCCGCGACACTACCCTCACCACCTGCGCCCTCAGTTATATCCACGCCTTGGGCGGCGTCCGCGACACTACCCCCCCACCACGCTTTCACTTTAGGGTTGAGGGCGGCATAACCGTCCTTTGCCTAGAGTGGCAGTTCAGCTTGGTCCGGCCCTGTGTACCTCTTAGTGGAAATGGGCCATTAGACACATAGTAACACACAGACAGCATCCTAGAATTTACCAGCAACAACCATCCAGAACACCTTAGAATGAAACTGGCAACCAGCCAGAGGATTCCACTGAGCAGTCAGTTCACCACAGCAGTGACACAATAACACCCTGGCAATCACCCAGATCACCTTAGTGACCTGACACCTCAGAACACCCTAGTAACTACTTAACAACGTGCTCCAGATCTCCCTCTGATCTGCAATCACCCAGCAACACTTTGGCAGTCATCCACATTACCTTAGCAACCACTTACCAAAACCATGACAGCAACCCATTCCACCATTGCAGCAACCTTGCTCAGAAATATTTAGTGGCCATTTTACCACCCTTGTAGCCATTTACACATTGGGAAACACCCAAAACACCTTAGCAACACCCTGACAACCATGCAGCAACCCCAGAAGTTAGCAACCACAACATTTTTCAATCAGCTAAATATAGTCTCTGATAGCTTCGTGTTATCGCTAGTTCCTCACAGCCGAAAAGGACCAGAGAAAAAATGAAAACAGAGAACTGAAACGCACACAAAAGCATCATTATCAGCTGGTTCCATCTGAACAATCACATCTGTGAGCGGATAGGGACAGATGGATACGGCTGCCTTGAAGGCCTGGGGTTTCAGGCAGATTGTTACAACTCTTCACCAGATTCGAGAGCCTGCGTTAAGCCTGTTGCCCTTTTGAAACCAATTTCGGTGTCTCTGCACTCGTGCCCATGCGAATATGCGGTCAGCGTACTTTTTTCCTGACTTTAGTGCCCTGTGCATCACTTGGCTCGGGTCTGGATTACGACAGCACTTTCCCTGCTTTAGGTCACCAGGATCAGCACTCACTCAACACCACAGCCATACATATAATCCCATCAGCCCCGACGTGGAAGAAGAGGATTTCAGCGTGACTATGAGGACTTTGCGAGAAGATTAGTCTACTGGATATCTCATTCCACCGCACAAATGGACAGTAAGACCGTCAAATTGGAGATCATTTGCTTGCTTTACATTTTCACATATGTGGAGATTTAGGTTTAATCTCGAGTTATTACACAAATAATTTGAGCAATCTGCACCAATGTGCTGCTGTATACCAAACAAAACACAGCCATCTTTTTTTTTTACACAGTCACATACAGTTGATGTCAGAATTATTAGCCCCCCTTTGAATTTTTTTTATTTTTTTAAATATTTCACAAATGATGTTTAACAGAGCAAGGAAATTTTCACGGTATGTCTGATAATATTTTTTCTTCTGGAGAAAGTCTTACTTGTTTTATTTTGGCTAGAATAAAAGCAGTTTTTAAATTTTAAGCTATATATTTTTTCGATAGTCTACAGAACAAACCACCATTATACAATAACTTAATTACCTTAATTGTTTAATTACCCTAACCTGCTTAGTTATCAAAATTAACCAAGTTAAACGTTTACATGTCTTTAAATGTCACTTTAAGTAGTATAGAAGTGTCTAGAAAAAATATCTAGTCAAATATGATGTCTGACTATGATGTTTAGAGATCTGTTGAAAAAAATCTTGTAATTGGGATAAACAGGGGGCTAATAATTTAGAGGGGCTAATAATTCTGACTTCAACTATCTATATCAACACACACTGTAATTTTTTTTTGCATTTTTACATATTTACTTAATAATAATATATTAAGCTGAGTTAAAACCTCAAGCTAAAATTTGTTTAACTTAAAAAATGCTGTTGAAACCTGAATAATGTTCTAATGTTCTATAAAAAAAACACAAGTGGAGGCCAAAATGTTCTGTAAGTAATATAAAAAAAATACAAGTGGAGACCAAAAGCGATATATATATATATATATATATATATATATATATATATATATATATTTTTTTTTTTTTTTTTTTTTTAAATCATTTTTAAATTTTTAATTTTTTTTAAATTTACATTAATAATAATTTCAAATTAAATTTTTTTCTGCATTAGGGCTGGCATCTATATATGCATATTTATGGAAAAAAAAAAAAAAAAAGCCCATTTATAACTTGAATGTGTGAGACTTTCAGTTTCAGCATTTCTTAGATATTAGAGTTGCTCTGAAATGTCTTTAATGCTGCTTGCAAACGTTTAATAATTCATAACACTATAATTACAAACTGACATGCAGCTCAGACAGATTTACTGTTTGCTCTTTTTGTTATTCAGCTAGTCATCTGCCCACAATGACTAATAAGATAAATAACTTGGTCTTGGAATTCCAGAAGCAACACGAATGTCTAGACTCGGGTAATTTGATAGCTGTAATTAAACGATGCAATTGAATCGAGCTGATTTAATATCAAATGAAAAGTTTGAGATGTTAAATCAAACAAGTTCATTATTAATGTTTTGTTTTAAATATATAAAACTCAAGGAAGCAAGCACACAACCATAGTTACTTATTCCAGTCATGCAGATTTAAGTATTCAGTCTGTAGCGCCATCTAGCGGCAGCTCACAAAACAATCTTGAAAACAGCATGTTTGTCAACAAGAAGAACGAAGGCCATGTGTCTATAACAGCACATGCAGTAGGTTTGTGTCTGTGTGCGTGTGTGACCTGGCATTGACTTCAGAGGAGATCACAGCACCTGCACACTGACCTCAATCCTCATAAGGATCTTACTGTCAATCACTAAGGCAGATGTCACTCTAAGAATCCTCAGTCTTTTCTCTCCGTCTCTCTCTCACTGCAGAGTCACGGTCTCGTGCAGGACAGAGGAAAAAACAAACACACACCGACTGATGATTCGACAAAAACACGCACATGAAAATATGGCGACCGTTGTGAGTATACGAGTCTTCTATTCTATTCTATTCTATTCTATTCTATTCTATTCTATTCTATTCTATTCTATTATAAAATGTTCTGTTCTGTTGTTTAAATCTCAACTAATTCAAAGAGGCAACTTACTTGTGTGTTTTAAATATTTGGCAGTGCAATAATGTATTGGAATGTTACAATTAATGTTTAATAAAAGGGTAAATGTTTCTTGTTTGATCCGATAAATAAAACAATTTGCAAATCAAATGTCTTCAAATATTTTATTTGATAAAATAATATACTTTTATTTAAAAAAAAGAAAACAAAATTAAAAAATATACAACTAATTATACCATTAATAAAAAAATATATATATGATACTAAATAGCATTGAATTAAAGAATTAAAGAATTTAATTTAATTTAAAACTTATAAAATAATACAAATTTGAAATAATTAAAATAGGAACAATTTGTATTCTTTTATTAGTTTTAAATTAAATTAAATTTTATGAACCTTTTCTTCATTTCAATGCTATTTAGTATCATATATATTTTTTATTAATGGTATAATTAGTTGTATATTTTTCATTTTGTTTTCTTTTTTTTGTGTAAATGTTTAGTAATTTTGTTCCTAAATCTTCAATTATTTGTTATATATAAATGTTCTTTGGAAACAAGTTGAAATCATTTAGATTTAATTTAGGTTTTCGTGTGTGTTTTTGTTAGTTGCACGGTTTTAGTTTCAGTTTCAACTATTATGCTTCTTCAATAAATATGGGAATTATGTACAAGTATGTTCATATGCCTATGAGCAGTTTTTAAGATGAGATTAGATGTTTTTAACGGCTTTACAATATATTCCAACAATATATTTCAAATTATTTATTTTTTTGCTATTTTATAGATTTTTTTATTGAAGTTATTTTTGTTGAAGTCAGCATTATTAACCCCCTGGATTATTGGCATCCCTGTTTATTTTTTTCCCTAATTTCTGTTTTACTGAGAGCAGATTGTTTCAGCACATTTCTAAACATAATAGTTTTAATAACAAATTTTTTAACGACTGATTTATTTTATCTTTGCCATGATGACAATTAATAATATTTTACTAGATATATTTCAAGTCTTTTCTATACAGCTTAAAGTGACCTTTAAAGGTTTAACTAGATTAGGTTAACTAGGCAGGTTAGGGTAATTAGGCAGTTTATTGTATAATGATGGTTTGTTCTCTAAAAAATTAGCTTAAAGGGGCTAATAATTTTGACCTCAAAATGGTTTTTAAAAATGTAATTGCTTTTATTTTAGCTGAAATAAAACAAATAAGAATTTCTCCAAATATATATATATATATATATATATATATATATATATATATATATATATATATATATATTTTTTTTTTTTATTTAAAAAAAAAAAAAAAAAAATATATATATAAAAAAAATATATATATAAAAATATATATATATTTATTTATATATATATATAAAAAAAAATATATATATAAAAAAATATATATATATATATATATATATATATATATATATATATATATATATATATATATATTATATATATATATA